AAGAAAGAGTAATGAAGTTAACATGAAGAAAAAAAGTAAATTCTTTAAAATGTGGTAGCATTCTTATTGCTAAGTGTATATAATTAATAACATGCACAGAAGACATGAAGGAAAGAAGATAAAAGTTTAAATTAAATTGCTAAGGAAAATATCATTGTACTTCTAAAAGTAAAGAAAGGTAGAGAATGGTCACTTTGAAAAAAATATACTTTGAAAAAATATAGATATGTCCCTTCAGAGATTCTCTCCACCCAGTGGTACACAGGAAACACTACAGTTTGCTCAAAAAGGAATTCGTAGTGAATTCTACTGATAGCTTTTTAAACACTGCCCCCTAATGTTCACACTCAGCTTCTTCTGAAATGACAAGAGGACCGTGCTAATAAAAATAATAGGGTCCTTCCTCCCTTGTGATCAGTGTAGCAGTTTTGTCCTGTAGACCAGATTTCACAGACTGAGGCAGTCTCAGCCACACAACGGTCAGAATGCATTAAACTCCCAACCACTCCAAGGTTACTCTCAGCAGTAAGGGCAACATGTGAGTGAGAACAGACTATTTGGGCTTGGAAAGCACTGACAAGACATCAATACCACTGGGAAACATCAGGAAAGTCTAGGACCCCAATAATAACATGTGCAACTTTAGACTGATCTAATCAGTCTTATTAAAAAAAACAAGCATTGATTACCAAGAATATCAAACTTCTAAAAAAGGAGAGATGGCCCTTGCTTTAGATACACACAAACTCATGACTCACAAATGACGGCTGCTTCCAAAAGAATCTGTTGAAATTTAGACTCCCTGATGAGCAACTCTGTTCATGACTCCCACCGCTGCCAATATGATCCACAACAAATGAAAGAGAATAACAAAAATATATATTCTCAAGGAGACCTGTTCAGTGTCTTGTAATCACAAAGTCCATGTCATCACTTAACAATGATACATGTCTAAACAGAGAAAGCCTAGAAGCACTTAATACCAAGTCAAGAAGCCTGAGTTTTAAACCCATTCGCCGTTAAATAGCTGTGTGACCTTAGGTCCCTCAGCTGTTCTGGGTCTGTTTCCTTATCAGTAATAAAGAAGAGAGAGCTGTGTGAACGTTTTTCTAACGATTGTCAGGAGGTGGAGATACACAGGATTACGGAATAAAGAGGGCTGCTTTTTCAGACTACATATGCCTCTCCCCATCACCCCTTCATGCCCCATCGCTATTACCAAAAAGCATATGATACTCCCATTTTCCCCTTAGCTGAGAACTACTGAGAACTATAATCTATCTCTAAGGGCCTTTGCCACACTAAAATGTTAATACAGGATCTGAGAACTGGAAGAAAACTTAAAAGAGATTCTCCAGTCATAAGACAAGGCCCAGAAAAACTTTTGATTCTAACTGTAGTTAGATACAGATGTGAAACTTTGAGGAAGTGTGAGGCTTCCCAAGTGGATTAGCATTTCATTTAGCTGGGTGATGTGATGAAATACATTATTATTCCCAATCTTCACCCTTCCCGGATCCCATGCCCTTTTCAATGCGACTTTGTAGTTCCTGCCACTAGAGTATTATATTTAACCACCTCTTGGTATTAGGCTTGGCCATATGACTTGCCTTGACCAAATGAATACTAGCAGATGTGATGTGAGCAGAGAGAGGCTTTAAACGTGCTTGTGAGATTAAGTTTGTTCTCTTGTGCTCTTGCCTTTCACTATGAGGAGAACACGTACTTGGTAGCCACTGGTCCAAGGAGTGTAAGACAGGTGCAGAACAGACCTGCAACTTGGAGCCAAACCTAACGAGTCTAGATCAGCTGAATCCCAGCCAATCCACATTTATGACAATGAGAAATAAATACTTACTGTCATGTAAGATTTTGCATTTGTTAGTTATGCAGAATTCTTATGGTTATAGGGTAATTCAGAAGATAATAGTTCACCTATTTTAATATTTTAAACCTCAGCATTTCCATTAGATTGTGAGATTCTAAGGAAAAATCTCTCCCTCTCTCACACACATATAAGTATTTGATACCCAGACACAAAAACAAAAGTGTGATTACAGATCTATATAATAGTACATCTGAAAAAGAGTCAGATCTAGTGGCAAAGATCTACTATGTCCAGAACCTATCTCTCGTGCTGTTCAGTAGAGAAGTTAATGATCACTGGGCTCTTTGATCTAAATCTAAAATAATAACAATTGTCCAAATATTGCAATTATAGCTTATTTTATATGAAAATACCACCACAAAGACAATTACACCACGAAAAGCACTACTTATACTAAAGAAATGTGTCACAGTCAAAGTATTATAATATCTCAATTAACCTGAATGCACAGAAATAGGAGTATTTTGGTTCTTATAATTTTACGAATAACAAAGATTTTTAAGATAACATTTTTGTGGCTTTTATAGTAAAACAAGATTTTCAGATACCTATTTTAAGATAAATTTACTGAAATATAAGGAGTAAAGTTTTTGTTTGGTTCCCTTTTAAAATATTTTTTAAATGTACTCGTTCCCTTACTGCCTTAGGAAAAAACCTAATGCATAGGGACCTAGTAACAATAAGTGAATATTTACTTCATGGTACGGACTCCTTTGGTACCTTAAAGCAATGATCATTACATTAGTGCTATGGACGAACTACATAAGAAATAACAGATGAGGCCAACTATGCCCTAACCCCAGGCTATCCTCTTAAAGTTTCTTTGGAAAATGTAAACATAACATTTACCACTTACACTTATCTCTGAAAAGTAGAATGCAAAAAAAAAAAAAAAAAAAGAGGCAACTATTAAAAACTCTTTAGCCAAGTTCTGATTATTCATTCATGAGGTAAGAAACTCCCATGTGCTCTATATCGTGTGCTGAACAAGAGCCTGAAGGATAGTGGGGGAGACAGACAAGTAAAGAGTAAAATATGGTAGACAACAGCCAACCCAGTCTTCAGGGATCGAGAGAAAAAGTCTGCACAGAAGCAATGACATCCAAGGTGAGATCTAAAGGACAAAGACAGAGTTACCAGGTGAGGCAGGGGATTAGTGTTCCAAGCAATGGGAACATCGTGTGTAAAGGCTCTGCCGTGAGAGCGAGTGTGGTGCATTTAGGAGATGCGAGTAATTCAGGTCCATAGGTGCTTTATGCTTTATGCTTTTCTGCTTCAACTGTCTATGAAAATAAACCCTTTCCTCACTTCGCCTCCGGGTTCTCCTCCCATCTCACTGACGATTCCTTCACGACTTCCTTCACTGTGTCATCATTGTCTCCTAAACATCTACTCATGGGAGTGCATCAGGCTCAGCCACTCAGACTCTCCTTTTTCTATCTACACTCACTCTGTAAAAGATCAAATACAGCCTTCAAATACCATGTACTTGCTCATAACTATAAAATTTTACATCTCCTGACTCTTAGATCCAAGCCCTTACTCTACATTTCAGGCTAGACTTGGACTTGACATTCCAAGTCCAAACGTGATGTTCTCCCTCCCAAAGCTTCTTTCCACAGTCCTACTCGACTCTGTAAACAACAATTCTTCTAATCGCTCAGGCCAAAACCCTACAGTCATCCTTAACTCTAGTCTTTCTCTTATACTCACATCTCATCCATCTGCAAACCTTACCCCCTTTTCTCGAAAACATTCAGAATTCTATCACTCTTTAACGACCTCGACCACTGCTACTCTAATTCAAGCCCCCATCATCTGTAGCCTGGACTATGTCAATAGCTTCGTAATTGTTCTCCCACTACCCTTGTCCTCGACCGTCTATTCTTAACACAGTAGCTAGAGTGATCCTTTTAAAAATGTCAGGTCGCATCATTCCTCTGCTTAAAACTCTCCATTAGCTTACAATCTTACTCGAAGTAAAAGCCTAATTCCTTAAGAGCAGCCCACAAGCCCTTACTAACCATCATCTTACTAACCATTATCTCCCTGATTTTCTTCCTACTACATTCCCCCTCACTCACTCTGTTTCAGCCATCCTTGCTGGTCCTCAAACAGGCCCAACACAGTCTTGCCCCAGGTCCTTTGCACTTGCTGTTCCCCTTGCCCGAAACTCTCATTGCCAATAATGATACGATTCACTCCTTTACTTCATTCAGGTGTCGGCTTAAATGTCCCCTTTATCAATGAAGACTTGTCTCACCTCCCAGTATAAAATAGACCCTCCTAACCTCATCCCCCTTGCCCTGTTTAGTTTTTCTCTTTTGACCTTATCACTACTGCACTCAAATACAAACACAAAAGAATGTGTTTACTTATTTACTATCTATCTCCCTAACCTAGAATGTAAATCTGCTGAAGAGCATAGATATGTGTTATTCATTGCTGTATCTCAGAAGCTTAGAATACTGCCTGGGAGATCACAGGTCTGCAGTAAATATTTGGTGGATGAATTAATAAAATCTGAAAATCTTATAAATTATTCTGACAAAAGCTATTAATGTAACTTTCTATTTTAAGAATAACTTTTTAATACTGTATTCCTAATTAATAGCTAAGTGCTTATAAACTATGTAAAGATAATACAATCACTTTTTTCCCTTTAGCCTAAAGACATACTTATACACACACAAACACACACACAGAGTTCACCATCAAGGGCTGAACAATCTAAAAGACTTCATAGCACTCTTTTCCTTCAGTTGGCTTTAGCACTTTTGAATATATTGAAGCAGTATGCTGAGATCCTATGTTATCTCAAAGCCAATTAATATTTCACCTGTAATTCTACATATATTTAATAATAGTACCTTGTCAGTATTTGTGAAATATCAGTAGAAAAATTGGCAAAACTACAGGCAGACAATTCACAGAAGAAATATGAAAAATGTTCATTTAGGTTAATGTTCTTTAGTGATTAATTTTCAACAACCTAAAATGGCTCGGCAGGGAGGGAGAGCAGAAGCACCTCAAGCGCGAGGTTTCTTATATACAGAAAAAGACACAGAAACTGGAAAACCTCGCCACTGACGAGGGTGTGGTGCTGAGATACCTGTGATGGAACAGTAGACCACGTGAGGCGCTACCACGTCTATATCTTCATAGCCCAGCCCCATTGCAGACAATTTGCCAGGGACATAGTTTTCCACAAATACATCACAAACAGCTGCAAGCTGAAAGAAGAGGTGAAGATGAGTCAGACTTCTTAAGGGACTTCCCAGCTTTCAACAAATCCCCACATGATAGAATTCTAATTTCAGTAAACACAATTGATCCTCGCTTTGTAAAAGCCCAGAAAAATCACAGGAAAAGTAGAATTACAAAGTATTCTTAGATAAACACGAAGGCTCTGGTCAACTACCTGAGGTATTACTGCCAGTAAAACAATGGGTATTAAAATTTTCAGTTATTACCATGGTATTAAGTGGATTGTGCTTACATTAAATGTAAGAAATATCTAGGCTACATGGTCTATCTAAATATATTCTCAGAAGTTTAGGTAAAAAAATTAGAATATAAGTACATAAAATATACGAAAAATATCTTTTAACCCCTTTAAAATAAAACTAAATACAATGTCTTTACTACTCCATCCTTATTATGTAATATTCCTCATTACAACATGTACATATAGGCACTTAATACATGCAAACATGATTCTGAATTGCTTTCACACTTTCCAGATGCTTTCTTTCCAAAGAGTTTTAAATGTATTTAATGAACCAGTAAAAAAAAAAAAACTGCTAAACTATAACCCAGTAAATCAGTAACTGTCAGAAACAAAACCCCAACTCTGATTCCCAGATCACTGCAACAAGCCATCGTAAACCATAATCTTAAAATTCTTTTCAAAATTTCAATTGTGACTACATTCTTTTTTTTTTTTTTTTTTTTGTGGTACGTGGGCCTCTCACTGTTGTGGCCTCTCCCATTGTGAAGCACAGGCTCCGGACGCACAGGCTCAGCAGCCATGGCTCACGGGCCTAGCCGCTCCGCGGCATGTGGGATCTTCCTGGACCAGGGCACAAACCCGTGTCCCCTGCATCAGCAGGCGGACTCTCAACCACTTGCGCCACCAGGGAAGCCCAATTCAATAATTTTTTAATTGCCATGTTGACAGAGATATACTCTCACACATCAAACTAATGTAATAGAATAAGACTCTGGACCAGGGGTGGGCAAACTTTTTTCATAAAATGTCAAAAAGTAAATATTTTAGCCTTTTTAGGCCACATACATTCCCTGTCACATGTTCTTTATTTTTCTTTAACAATCTTTAAAACTGTAAAATTCACCATGGGCTGTGCAAAAACAAACCTGATTTGGCCCACACAGTCTGCTAACCTCTGCTCTAGATGGAAAATAACTGAATTTACATAAACTTTAGAAGGAAACATCAATAAATTGAATGCCTGTTTGTTATTGTGTCACCAAATTTGGAGTGTGTTTGACTTAACAAAATTTAGGGGGAGGAGATCTTAGGAGGCATCTCAGGGAAATAAGCTGTTATCCTCCAGAGCTCCTGAAACAGGTACCAGGGGCCCAGGTGACCACCTGTCAGAAGAGGAATGATACATACATTAAGATACAAGACAGAGAGAGAGAAAGGTTTTCAAGTATGCACCCCAAATCTTAAGCCATACAGGCATCCTTTCCAAATTTCAGGTGCCAATTAACATTTGAGCTGCTTCTCACATGGGCAACTCTATGCAGTATGCCCCAGGGACAGCCCAAGTAGAGATGTGTTTATTTTTTGTTAATGGTTCTACCAAGCCTTGCTTGGAAAATGTGGAGGGAGAATGGGTGTTAGTATAAATAAAACACAAAGCTACAGTTACATTGTAATCTATTCCACATATTTTTCTGAGCTTCTATCTGCTACTTACACAGCACTCCTGCAGGCACTAAAGAAAACAAGCTGCATCAAACACATCTAGATTCTTATACCAGCCATCTCTCTGATACGTATTCTGCATGGTGCACAGTATAGTACCTTATGCAAATGACATTTGATAAATTATTTTTAATGTTAAAACTCTGTGTGGGTTCCTCAAAAAGCTAAACACAGTTAAGATATGACTCAGAGATGCCAATCCTAGGTATATACCCAAAATAATTGAAAGCAGGGACTTGAACAGGTACTTGTATCCCAATGTTCATAGCAGCATTATTCACAACAGCCAAAAGATGGAAACAACCCAAGTATCCATCAACAGACAAATAAATCCATCCAGTAAAGTAGAATATTATTCAGCCATAAAAAGGAGCAAAGTTCTGATACGTGCTACAACATGGATGAACCTTGAAAACATTATGCTAAGTAAAATTAACTGGACACAAAAGTACAAATATTATATGATTTCAGTTATATGAAATATCTAGAATAGGCAAATTCATAAAGACAGAAAGTAAATTAGAGGTTATCAGAGGCTGAGGGGAGAAGGAAGTGGAGAATTATCGGTTAATGGATACAAAGTTTGTTTGGAATGATTAAACATAAAAGAAATACACAGCAGTGATGGTTGCACACAATTATGAATGTCATTAATGCTACTGAACTGTACAGTAAAAATGGTTAAAATGACATTTTATGTTATATATATTATACCACAATTTTAAAACTTTTAACTATATAGGGTATTTGTATTTTTAGATTTCTATACCATCATAAATCACATTTCAATTCACATAAAGTATTCAGATGGATCACAAACAAATTCACTGTTTCAATAAGACAAGAAAATAAATATAATGAATAAGTTATATTAATAGAAAAGTATTCAGAATGTATAAACAGAAAACATTAAAAAACAATATACATGGTGTTATCTCATGTTTATTGGAAAAAATGAGTATACAAGGACATAAAGAGATTTGATACGATACACTAAAATATTAATCTTTTTGTCCATGAGCAGATACTACTTGTATAACAACAGAAAAAAAATTTAAGCTAAAAAGAGGTGTGCTCAGAGTACCATGTAGTATAACTCTCCGAAGTTATAAGAAAAATATGGAAAAGTTAAATTTAGAAGCTAAAGACTTCCACTGATAAAGATGCCCAGTAGCTTTTTATTATTACCCAAGAACTCAATATGTATGCATTATGATACTTATTGATAAAATATCCCTAGAAAAGTGTATAGCACAGAAGTTATTCTTTGCTCCATTTTATGAATATTTATTTTAAATAAACACATACTATCTATTTACTAGATACTGATTCTTAGTGAGTCTGCCATCCAACATATTCTCCCTCCCTCTCTCTTTAGGGATATTTACCCATTTCAAGATCACGTATGTTCCCTAAAGCGTTAACTAACGCATTCGTTAAAATTCTAAGCAGTGCAGCGCTGAAATCAGAGACATCACAAACCTCCCTGAGTTACATGGATCTCCACACTATCTACAAGTAATATACAAGTCAACTGCTTCAGTGGAGACCAAACATTTATCGCATTTCCCTGATACAAGGATCTACTAGGAAATAAAGTGAGGGGGGAAGAAAGAATTGTTCCCAGTTTTGCTGGTGATCGCCTCTTCCTCATCTTGGCGCTCACAGATCACCTAATAATCTATTCTAGAATCTTACCCACAATAAGAAACAAGCACAATTTTGCATGTTAGAGAACTCATCATCTTTTTCTTTTCTTCTGGGAAAAAAAAATTTAGGAACAGACTGGATGAGCAAGATCAGAAATAGAGGGGAAGTGACGATAAGAATTTAACCACATTTATCAGTAAAGAAAATCATAAAATAATTTTTAAATGTATGTCAAAGAATGTCCTTACTCTTAGATGTATTCTGCAAATGCTCCTCCCCCTGAGCTATACCCCCCAGGAGATGTCTCCTGAAGGATTTAAGGACAAAGTTTCATATCTTTCACTTACTTTCAAATAGTTCAAAATCAGACACACACATACCACATGTATTCATATGTAAATAAACAAATATAGCAAAATCTTAAAACTGTTGCATCTAGGCATAGGGTAAATAAGAGTTCATTATACTACTCTTTCCATTTTTCTGTATGTTTGAATTTTTCATAATAAGATGTTGGAGGAAAATAAAACCCATGACACTGCTCTATTGGCCATGATTCACACCCACAATATGGATACTGCCATTGTCAACTAATTAACATAGAGAATTATTTGAAATATAGATGACGTGTTAGGAAGTTATCAAATCATATTGCCATGAAAATACATAGACTTTTCGAAGCAGAGCTTTCTTTTCTACACAACCTATTTTTGGTTAGCCTGGTTGACAAAGGAGTCATACTTTTTGGAGCTCTCATGTATCCAGCTGACTGCTTTGTATAATACTCTGGAACTGTATCTATAAACTAGACTCATTATATTGGCAATCATACCCACCAAGTTCTGAATACAAAGGTTGTTTTGCTACTTTTAAGACCAAAAGAGAAATCCATGCCAGAAAGAATAAAAAGACTAGGCAAAAAATAACTTTTCCTCTAGGCAGTAAGATATATAACTTATGAAATGTATAACTAGCTGAAAGCAAAAGATATGCAAAATGACTGCAGACAACCTATTAAAGTTTAATATGAGTTGAAATGTACTTTATCATTATCAGACATGAAGAGAAACCATGCCCATAATGAAACAATTTAAAATTGTTACAATCTGGTGGAGGACACAAGCAGGATCCAAAGAGAGTGAGAAAGATGTCCCAGCAAATTCATTTCTTTTGGTTAGAATTATACATGTAGGCCTAAAATACTCCAATGTACACTGATGTCTTAGGAGCAAGAGTTATGAATTCCACCTAACACTGCCCCATTGAAAAACCCTAATGAACTTGTAAAGTATTTGTTAAATCAAATCTAAAACCTTCACTATTCAGGATAAAATATCAAAATGTTCTGAAATGGAAGCAAATAAGCAGGAACTGTGAACATTGAAGGTGGAACTGAGAAACATAAACCAGAAAGAGAAGAATTAAGCACAATCTCCTAGATGATTCATCATCATCACCATCATAACAACTACTGAAAAGATAAAAAGAAGGGCCTGACACTACTGGGCACACACCCTGAGAAAACCATAACTCAAAAAGAGTCCTGTACCACAATGTTCACTGCAGCTCTGTTCACAGTAGCCTGGAGATGGAAGCAACCTAAGTGTCCAGCAACGGATGAATGGATAAAGAAGATGTGGCACATATATACAATGGAATATTACTCAGCCATAAAAAGAAACGAAATGGAGCTATTTGTAATGAGGTGGATGGACCTAGAGTCTGTCATACAGAGTGAAGTAAGTCAGAAAGAGAAAGACAAATACCGTATACTAACATACATATATGGAATTTAGGGAAAAAAAAATGTCATGAAGAACCTAGGGGTAAGACAGGAATAAAGACACAGACTTACTAGAGAATGGACTTGAGGATATGGGGAGGGGGAAGGGTAAGCTGTGACAAAGCGAAAGAGTGGCATGGACATATATACACTACCGAATGTAAAATAGATAGCTAGTGGGAAGCAGCCGCATAGCACAGGGAGATCAGCTCGGTGCTTTGTGACCACCTAGAGGGGTGGGATAGGGAGGGTGGGAGGGAGGGAGACGCAAGAGGGAAGAGATATGGGAACATATGTATATGTATAACTGATTCACTTTGTTATAAAGCAGAAACTAACACACGATTGTAAAGCAATTATACTCCAATAAAGATGTAAAAAAAAAAAAAAAAAAGGGCCTGAGAATGAAGACAATGGGAGTTGAGTCCAAGATGAGGGTCGCTGCCATAGACAAACAAGGCAGGGTGGGCTTCCTTCGTGGCACAGTGGTTGAGAATCTGCCTGCCAGTGCAGGGGACACGTGTTCAAGCCCTGGTCTGGGAAGATCCCACATGCCGCGGAGCAGCTAAGCCCGTGCCCCACAACTACTGAACCTGTGCTCTAGAGCCTGCGAGCCACAACTGAGCCCACATGCCACAACTACTGAAGCCTGCGTGCCTAGAGCTGGTGCTCCGCAACAAGAGAAGCCACTGCAGTGAGAAGCCCACACACCACAACGAAGAGTAGCCCCCGCCTGCCACAACTAGAGAAAGCCCGGACGCAGAAATGAAGACCCAATGCAGCCAAAAATGGAAAAATAAAATAAATAAATTTATTTAAAAAAAAAAACAAGGCAAGGCAATAATAACAGAGAACAATTTAGAAAAATCATATTAAGTTGCAACTGAAAAATAAAATAAAAACAAGCAAACAAACCGAAGTTATGCTATAGAAAAGATGTAGGAAAACAGGACAGTGAGATCAGGACAATTATCAAGCTTTGGGTTCAACATATATCTAGTAAAATTCTAAATTTGTTCGATTGATCCAACAGAACCAGAGCGGATGATCACTGATTCTGATCTTAATAATTAGAAGACGTTATTTTTCAATCAGCCAGATGATAAGGAAAGAAGCATCAGAGCAATGAAGCTAAAATTGATACTTTGATATAAAACAAATTTGGGGATTTGGTTCTCTAATCAAGGAGATTTACATCCATTACATTTGACTTCAAACTTTTTTTTTTTTAATTTAATTTATTTATTTATTTATGGCTGTGTTGGGTCTTCACCACTGCGCACGGGCTCTTTCCAGTTGCGGCGAGCGGGGGCACGGGCCTCTCATAGCAGTGGCCTCCCCTGCTACGGAGCGCGGGCTCTAAGTGCAGGCTCAGTAGTTGTGGCGCACGGGCCCAGCGGCTCCGCGGCATGTGGGATCCTCCTGGGCCAGGGCTCGAACCTGTGTCCCCTGCCTTGGCAGGCATATTCTTAACCACAGCGCCACCAGGGAAGCCCTAGACTTCAAACTTTAACAAGAATGGCAAACAAGTTTTATCTCACATGATGAATCCGCCTTCATGTGCACCGGGAACAATAATAATAGTTAATGCTGAATGAGTGCTGACTATGACTATGGCAGGCACCCTTCTTCACATTTTACACAATATTAACTCAATTCTAACAACCCTAAGAAGTAGGTATTATTACTGTCCCCATTTTGCTAATAAGGGAACTGAGGCATAAAGAAGTTAAGTAACCTGCCTGAAGTCACATGGCTAGTAAGTAAAGAAGGCAGAATTTGAATCCCAGCAGTAGAACACTGGGGTATTCCCCTAACCATTGTGCTGGCCCCTCAAGGAAAGATGCCAAGATCAGGTCTGCACACATCAGCCATCTGAATAGGTGTTAGAAAAACCTTGGGCTCTACAGTGATGTAGACCTAGGGTTCAAACTTCAGCTCCTCCCTTTACTAGCTATGTGATCTTTAGACAATCACTCAAGCCCCTTGAGACTCATTTCACCTCTTGTGAAAATGAGGATATAACACTTCATTTACAAGGAAAATTCTGAAGATTTGAGAAGATAATACGAATAAAGTACCCAGGCCTAAGATCTGATGCAGGGCAGGCACTCGGTCAATGGACACTAGTGCCATAACTGAACACTCTGACACGATGGAGAAATGTTAAACACAATATACCAGAAATTATAAAGCAAATTATACTTAGTATAAAAACGAAGTTAAACTCAAATGGCACTTACAGCAAAATTTCAGATTGCCAATGAAATAATGTTTTAAAATATTTTTACTCATATTCAAATCCCTAATTACAACCCAGGTGACAAGATGCCTTCTATAGAGCATACTGTACCTCTTTGATGATTTTCACCCCTTTTGGATCCTTGATATTAACAGCTATACTCTAAAAATTAAAAATATATATATTAAAATAGTATCTTAAAAATTTTTCTTATTGTTGACAGTTCAATAAGAGAGCCATTCATATTACAGATTTCTCCTCTTAAAGTAAATGCATTTTCCTCACGAAGAAACATTTAAATAATTTCTACTGATTTTATTTTCAATTCGGATATGTTAGGATGATAGTAAGGATTATAGTAAAAATTTTTCAAATAATAATACCAAATGTAGGCAATTAGCAATCTCCAAAAGAATAACAAATGTAACAAATCAACTGATTCCTCACTTTAATAAAATTATTTCCATTAAAAACCATTATAGGGCTTCCCTGGTGGCACAGTGCTTGGGAGTCCGCCTGCCGATGCAGGGGACACGRGTTCATGCCCCGGTCCGGGAAGATCCCACATGCTGCGGAGCGGCTGGGCCCATGAGCCATGGCCGCTGAGCCTGCGCATCCAGAGCCTGTGCTCCACAACGGGAGAGGCCGCAGCAGTGAGAGGCCCGCGTACCGAAAAAAAAAAAAAAAAAATTATAAATTCTCAAAAAACGTTTTAAGTTAGTAGAGAAGGAAAATTAATAAAAAGCTCTACTGTTTCTACTTGGTAACTGGTGAATGAATAAAATAAAATAAAATTTCACCCTATTGGGAATATTACAAAATATCTACAAAAAGGCATAGAAATAAACAAGCCACAATGATATCAAAAGTTTTGTTATTACAAGAGAATTACACAGGGCTTCCCTGGTGGCGCAGTGGTTAACAATCTGCCTGCCAATGCAGGGGACGGGTTCAAGCCCTGGTCCGGGAAGATCCCACATGCCGTGAAGCAACTAAGCCCGAGTCACAACTACTGAGCCCGTGCGCCTAGAGCCCGTGCTCCGCAACAAGAGAAGCCACCACAATGAGAAGCCCGCGCACTGCAACAAAGAGTAGCCCCCGCTCACCGCAACTAGAGAAAGCCCGTGTGCAGCAACGAAGACCCAAGGCAGCCAAAAATAAATAAATTACTTTTTTTAAAAAAAGAGAGAATTACACAAAGAAAGCAAAAAGGGGATAATATTCTTACTTTTTTATTTCGGTTAACACTGAGAAAATAAGTACTTTCTGTCCCCACAAAAGGTGGACCCCAAGTTCGTGTATCATCACCAGCTCCTGAAAACAATAGTATGAACTATTTAACCTTGAAACATCATGAGACATTTCAAATCAACAGGCTTACTCATATGTAAGTTCACAGATGTCTAAACAAGATCAGTGGAATTAGCAACCTGAAGTGGCCTTGGGACCTTGTTAGAACTGCCCAAACTCTTTACCTGTTCATGTAAATCACTAAATCCTCCCATAGCTTCTTTCACTAAAATCCATCCCTGAAAGTCAGAATCCAGAAGGGAATATCCTACTGGCAGTCTTTAGATTTAATAAATGGCAAGTCTGAGGGGGAAAAAAATTACTCTCCTACTTCAACAAACAAGTCAGCTCTTTCAGTGTTTTTAGCATTAAATGTGCAAACAAAAGGTGGGGTCTACAAAATATTTTTGTTAAATACAATTTAAATCAGGATAATGATAAGTAAGTCTTTATGATAAAGTGGTATCTGAGGCTAGGTATAAAACAATGATAAATAAATCTATTTTTTAAATTCTGTAGCAATAAATCAGAAAAAGCAAAATAAGCTACTGAATAGCAAATGTCAATAATTTAAGATGCTATTTAGAATAAAATTTTAGTAGTCTAGGTCTTGCTTCAAAGTAAAAGTTTAAAAACATCAAAAATAGGGTATTTTATTCTAAACATCCACTTCAAATGATTCTGAAAAGTACTTGTGTTTGATTCAAAGATAACACTATCAAGTTACAGAAAAAAAGTTTTCTTTGCACAAAAAGCAAACAATGTAGATGGAGCTCAGAAAGTGAATCAACAATTAATAGGCACAAATTAGTATCACTTAAATTAAGATTTTTATAAGTTCTGATTAAATATTGATATTAGAAACTAATCACTACCTAAGTATTACTAGCCCCCAATAAGAGAGAATTTGTGAATACGGGTTAAAGTTTAAATTCTAATCTCATTTAAATGATATAATTAATTTATTAGCCCATTAGACCTTACCCACTGAAACTGATAAAGAAAAACAGACACAGCCTTTTAGAAAACAAAACAGAAGCTAAAGAATAGACTCCTTTACTAAAAACAAAAAACTAAAAACCTCACAAGAGAAAGCGAGAACACAGGACAGAGGAGAAAAGAAGCATTAGTTCTAACTGGGGATGAACTGATAAACAACACAAAGCAATAAATAGTAAGTATCAAACTGAACAGCATGCTCAAAACGTCAGGGGAAAAAATAAACTACAAGAGTCCACAAAGACAATCTCCTAGTAATAAACCGGTTATAGGCTTCACGGAAAAATGTATGTGTGAATCTGGATCTTCAAGATCAGATAGAACCTCCCAGAGGCTGGAGAGAGTCCAGCCACTTCCATTTTTTTGAAGGTCTCAATACATTAAATTAAAAAAAAAATTTGTTTTTAAGAGAGCAATGTCAAGATAAGGCTAAAAGTAGAGAGCTTATTTTAAATGTTTACATTCATCTCTTGGGTGGAAATAATGTCAGAAATCTAAACTGGAGGCCTACATGGCTTTCCTGCCCCACCTGGTCCTGGTGTATAACCTGGGTTTAAGAGACGCGGAAGGATAGGATATGTGCTGACGGCCCATGAAATGAAATAAGGGTTAAAGGTCACAAGCTGGTAAAACTGGCAATTTGAGAGACATGTTTTATTTGACCCACACACAACTTAAAGTTTTTAAATATCTGCCATGATTTCAAAATCTAGAGATAGTATATAAAAATTCAGACTGCCTTTCTTATATGATATTTCAACACATTCATCCATTCAGCAAATAGTTATTGGGTGCCTACTATGTCACAAACACTGCTCTCTGCAGAGCAGACACAGCAGTGAACAAAGACCAATATCCCTGCCCAGGTATGCCTGCCTCCTGGTGACAACCCTGGAATAACAGCAGCATCACTGGCTGCCCAGCCCACTTCATTCATTTAGGTTACCTGCCTGGCCCTGCAGGCATAGCGTTTACACCCACCGAAAGACTCTAAAAAGAGAAGAAAAAAATATACTTAAGCTTGATACGCTCTTTGATTACTCAAATAAGAATAATCTAGTCCCAAGTCAGAAAACTACAACGAAATTTAATTTAAGAACTGAGGAAGTGGACACTAAAAGAGACTGAAATGTGAAAATACTGCCAAGGGACTTTTCTTCATATCTGTTGAATAACTATCTCGAAAAAACAAAATATATAATATGAACATTAAAACATACTGAGCAAAAGCGTTAAAGGAGAGAGACCAATTAGTAAGAAAAAGAGCAATGAACATCTGCTAGGAACAAAGCTTGATGCCTAGTGTATGGCTATGGGACATAATAAAGGCCTAGACTAAGGAAAGGGTCCCCCAGTGTGGAAATGAAAAAGTACAAAGGAGAAACAGGACTAAGCAAACAGGAATTAGTGATTTCTAAAATTAATAAAAATAAAGTCATTCCCTCAGTATTCATGAGGGACTGCTTCCAGCACCCGCTGAGGACACCAAAATTGGCAGATGTTCAAGTCCCATAATTGGCCCTCCATATCCACCAGTACAGCATCCGCAGATTCAACCAATCTCAGATCATAAAAGTACCCAATCTGTGGCTGGCTAAATCCATAAATGCAGAACCCGTGGATACGAAGGGCCAACTGTACAAATATTTAACCTAGTGATCAAATGAAATAGCAACAGAAATCATATTGGCTATTCTATCGAGAAATGGAAGACCCAATGCTTGAAATTAGAAAGTATGTGGTATTAAAACTGGATAGCAATGTGAAAATTAGAAGTTTTGTGGTACCTGTAAAAGAAAAAAAAAGATGTTCAGCTAGAAAGTAAACATTATTCAGCATGTATCCAGCAATGACCAAAAGTGATAAATATCACTGACTGGATAAATGAAGCATTATCTCTGGAAAGCAGGATTCACCAGGCTCTTCTATCACCTGGAGCCTGACAAGCACAGGGCCAGATAAATATAAAATATATAACATTCCCCATGCTGATCAGAGAATCTTCTGCTAACTGCTTTGGCCTCTTAAGAAGATCTATGTAGCAGAAAGTTGAATCTTCTAGATCATGCGTTCTACTTTATAGAGTTTAATCACTTATGGTAAATTAGTATGTTGATGTAATTATAAACTAGTTTCTTATGGGTCTTATAGATACATGTACACTATTGAAGGCTAGACCATTTTCACTAATTTGGGAATTCTGTTCCAGATCCATAAGCAACAGATCTTGAAGAATAAATAATAATGCTAATTTCTTGCCTTCCCTTCGTCCCCCAGTGAGGGAAGGCGGCCAGGCCCACTCTAACCTCAGTCTCAGCAGCAAGGCTTGTGTGGGGCTCAGAAGGGCCAGGATCAGAGCTGAGTGTCTGGATATTCCTTACTAGCTGTGTGACCGTGGACAAATCCCTTGACCTCTCTGTGTCTCTGTCTTCTTATTTATAATCTAGGAATAATAACAGCTCACAGGCTGTTGTAAAGACTGAATAAATTAATACAGGCAAAGTGCTCAGAATTGTGCCTGGCACTAACCGTTGTTAGCATCATCATTATTTACGTGTTGCACATCAGTTTCTACCAGAGGCTTCCAGGTGCATGTGAAGGATCTGGCTTAGGCCTTAGCCCTTGGCACGTATAAAGAGTAGAAAGAGATCTAATATTAGTATAGGTTCAGAGGAAAATAAAGGAGAAGGGAAAATAATCGCTTCATTTCAATTCTCTCCTCATCCCACATACAGGTACATGGACATTTAAAGAACTATTAAAAATATTTATTAGCTTGTTTCTATGTTTTAAAGAGAGAAGTAGTTTTACCTGGTCTTTCCACTTTTATAACTTCTGCTCCAAGATCTCCTAAATTCATAGTAGCAAAAGGTCCCGCCAGTACTCTACAATGTTAACAATGATAGATAAATTCATTACCATCTTTAAGATTTTTATATTAATTCTTTTCTTAATACTCCATCAACACAGACAAGCTCATATAATGTAAGAATTAAAATTGTTAAAACTAAAAAAAAAAAAAAATTGTTAAAACTGTTCAAAAAAGTGATTTGGCCATATGTATCAAGAGCTTTAAAAAGTATATTCCCTTTGATGCAGTAATTCTACTTTCAGAATTCTATCCTAAGGAAGAAACTGAAAGATTTCCTGAGGCAAAGATTTATGTACAAGGAAGTCTCATTTATAATATAAAAACACTGGAGGATGACTAGGTAATTATGTGCCAACTATATACTATAATAAAATATCTTATATTTTTTGTTGAATTTCGAATGACATGAGAAAATACTCAAAATATAACATTATGTTTAAAATGTGGATAAACCTGTAATTTCAATATGGTTCCAATTTTTATTTTCAAAAGTTATATATAATACATATAATAAGCAGATTGGAAAGAAATGTATAAGTATTATACTAATTGTCTCATAGAATGATGAATTTACAGGAAATTTTCTTGGTTTTTCTTTCTAAAATTTCAATGATAAGCTTATAAACACCTTCTTATAATCCAAGAAATAAATGCCTTTTTAAAGAAGGGGGAAAACTCAATCACCAAAACACAGATAAACCAATGCAAACCTTGTTAGATCCAGAATTCTTACACCCTCCAATGGCTTCATATTGTCAGTATCTGGCAAAGACAGAAAATACTTAAGTTGATTACTAATTGTTGGAAGGAATAATGCAGAATTCTTCATATTCTTAGTAATATCTATTACTACCAAATAAATAAATAAATTTTCCTTCACATTTCTGCTTTATATATAACACAGAAACCTTGACCCAGTCCAACTAAATCAATCTGTAAAAATTAAAGCCTCTAATACCAGATTATTCCCGATTTAATAAAGTCCAAAGCTACACTTAAGATAGTTTGTCTAATGAAAAATTTAAAAGTGGGACAAACTAATGAAAAATTTAAAAATGGGGGGAGGGGGTGTATAGGCTGAGCACAGAGGGTTTTTAGGACACTGAAAATACTCTGTATGATACTGTAATGATGGATACATGTCATTACACATCTGTCCAAACCCAGAATTGAGAAACAGAACTTTCCATTACCTGAAAGTTTTCTCCTGCCCTTTGCAAACTACCTCTCCCTCCATCCCCAACCTCAGGCAACCATTGATCTGCTTTCTGTCATTTTAGTTTGCATTTCCTAGAATTTTATATAAATGAAATCATACACTATGTACCCTGTCTGGCTTCTTTCATTCAGCATTATGATACTGAGGCTCACCCATGTTGTTGCATTTTTATGAGTAGTATCCTACTCTATGGATATACCACATTTGTTTATCCATTCAGCTGTTGATGGACACTGGGTTGGTTCCAGTTTTAGGTTACAGTGGATCAAGCTACTGTGAACATTTGTGTACAAGTCCGTGTGTGGACATGTTTTCATTTCTCTTGAGTAAATACCTAGTGGAATGGCTGGGTAATATGGTAAGTTTATGCTTAACTTTCTAAGAAACTGCCAAACAGACTTCCACAGTGTTTGTACAACAGCGCGCGTTCTAGAAACTCCACATCCTCACAACACTAGGTATTGTTCATCTTTTAAAGGTTAGCCATTCTAATGGGTATATGATGTTTCTCTGTGGTTTTAACTGGAATTTCCCTGTTGACTAATGCTGTTGAAAATCTTTTCATGTAATAATAGGCCATTCATACATCTTCGATTGTGAATTGTCTCACTGCTTTTATTTTTTTTAACTGTTTATCTTATAGTGGAGTATAGTTGATTAACAATGTTGTGATAGTTTCACGTGTACAGCAAAGTGACTGAGTTACACATATACATGTATCTATTCTTTTTCATATTCTTTTCCCATTTAGGTTGTTACATAATATTGAGCAGAGTTCCCTGTGCTATACAGTAGGTCCTTGTTGGTTACCCATTTAAAATATTACAGTGTGTACATGTCAACCCCAAACTCCCTAACTACCCCTTCCCCTGCCTCACTGTTTTTAATACTGAAGCAAAATATTCAAAACAGTGCAAAAATCCACCAACAGGTGAAATGTTAAATAAGCACCTGCATATCCATATAAAAAAATACCGTACCGATGTTAAGAAAAATGAGACATTTACATACCCTGACATGTAAAGTTCACCAAGATATATTCCTAAGTTAAAAAATAAATCAAGTTGTAGAACAAAATGTATAATATGATCCTATATTTGTAAAGATACATAATAACATTAATAACACATGTTGGTGTTTCTAGGAGCATTCATAAAATTCTACTGGTGGTTAAATCCTGGGGTAAGAATTTATGGAGAACTTTCACTAGCTAAGTTATTTATTTCTGTAATTTTGCTTAATTGTGATTAAGTGTATAATCAGCAAAAAAAGAAAATGAAAAAGTGAAAACATAAAGAACAGAATGAGAGAGAAAACAAGATATTTTAGAGAAAATAAAACATAGAAAAAGACCTCAAATGTGAGAAGATATTTTGACAACATTAGGAATGAATGGACAAGTAATTCTTTATGTTACATAAGACTCCAAAACTACTGGTCTTATGTACTCATCTCTTTTGGGGCCCTTCTTTTATTTCAAATGATGCAGGAAATATATTTAGAGGTCTCTTCAACCCATAAATCTCATTTCATTATAAATCTATAAAGAGAAGTCTATATTTCTCTACCAATATCAACTCACAACCATAATAAATGTTGTTTAATAACACAAAACTTTTCAAATGAATTAATTTAACATCAGGCAATAGAATTTTACTTTTATTATCTGAGAAGATAACCAGAAAGGACTTCTAGAGCACATTTAAGTCAAAATCAATTAATGAGTTTTAAACAGTTAAGAGCATAAACCCTGGAGACTGACTGAATTTAATTCTCTGCTTCACTACTTGCTACCCTAGTGACCTTGACCAAGGTAACTTCACTTCTCTGAGCTTCAGTTTCCTCATCTGAAACACCTATATCATAGAGTTTGCAAGGATTAAATGAAATGTTATATGTAAAGTGCATAGTATACTTCCTGCAACATGGTAAATGCTCACTAAAACTCAACAATTGTTATCATCAATCTCACCATTGTATTATACAGTCACAATACCTATTAAAGTAGATAATCCAGATTTGAAAACAAGAGAAAAAAACATGACTCATGATTATTTCAAAGAACAGAAAATAACATATATGATTCTCAATACTCTATACTTTAAAAAAGATATCTATAGCCATATTTTGCCTGTTTGTGAAAGACCAGAATAGGCTGATTACGGGGGGAAAAGAACAGTTGAAAAGAGCATCAATTATAACGTAATTTGTTAAGATATATTGAGCAGCTTGTATATTGCTCTAACTTATTTGGCCTCTAGGATGGAAAGCTATTATGATGATCACAGCTGAGTAACCATGCAAAGCAGTATAACTATAATGAAGTTGCCATCAAATCTATGCTTGCCAGAGCTGCTTCTAGGAACTCCCCTGGTATTTGGCCCTAAGGTTTCCATGACACAAAGAAACTTCAGCAGCACCAGAGTAGATATAATTGACAGATGCCCACACAAGTGGCTCATCTGTATGACAGCAATCGTGGCATCCCTCCCCCACTGTACTAGTCAACTACTGAGACATTGAAAAAAAAAAAAGTCGTCATAAAACAAACTGATCGAATACCACTATGAAATACAACATGTGATATACACCGAAATGATTTCTTAATTTGATATTTTACAGAGAACTTAACTACCAGAACTTAGGAGTGAGACAGTAGGTGGATATCTCTTCAAAGCTTTATTTAGAATAGTTAGCAGGATATTTTCTTTCTAGCACAGGTTAAAAGTCTTGAAAGAAGCTCTGTTCCTAATAGTATAATTTGGCAGGTAATTTTAGGAGTTTAGAGTACTTGGAAAATTAGAATCCACTGGAAAACATTCCACGGAACCTAAAAATTTTCAGTTGTAAAAAGGTACTGTGGAAGTGATGCCAAAGTTACGAGGCAATTACACCATTTAGAGACAACCAGAGAACAAGAGCTAGATGGATAGTAACTTATAATAATTTATAATTCACCTTCCATTGACACTCAGTTTCTTGAGAATTGCCCTTCTCTTGCAAGGACCTGGCTATTACTATGGGATTTGCAATCAAACAGGTTTTTAAACTGTTGGATGCTACTATTTTAATGAAAACTTGAGAAATCTACAGGAAGAACAGTGGAAAAAGACCAGATAAAGGGTTTTTGAATGATAGGTAAAGCATGCTACAACCAAAGTACAAATCAGTGCTAATCCCAAATCCCTCTGCTCTTCTACATTTCCCGGCTTCTCTTGCAATTAGGTTGGGCCCAAATGCCGGGGGGCCTGGCCAATGAAACATAAGCTAATTCCAGCCCTGATCCTTAAAAACATCCCACAAAATCCTCCAGGCTTCTATACTCCTGCCACAGTGACCTTGGAAGCTACAATTTTCAAATAGTGTAGCTATATGTGCAAGAAAGATGTTTTATTGTATTAAGCCACTGAGATTGTAGGCTAATTTGTACCACCACCCCATCTAGCCTATCCTGACCAATGAAGAAACCAAGCATTGGAGAAGGAAAAATGGTAGCCTCTAAGCGATCATAGAGCATCAAAGCCAACAACTGGAAAGTCCATTTCAGGGGTAGGTTGTTTCACTGTTAGCAGCAGTCTTCAAACTGAGATATGTGAAGACTTTTGTAAGAAATGAATCATTTTAAAGAAATCAATTTCCAGCTCTTCAACTTTCATATACATTTTTTCCTAAAAATAAGCCTTCTTTCATGATAAGCCTTCTCCCACTGGGCAGAAGGAAAACATATTCCTTACACATTACAGCTCTTACCCTCATCTTAGTTCTTGTAAAATCTACTTGTGATAAAAACTTTTAAATATGAACTTAATATATGCAATGAATTGCCTTTCAAAAGTCATTTAGGAGAAAGACCACTGCTATAGACTGGCACGTGGAAAGGTAGAAAACAGCACCAATTATAGACTTTATAAATCAATTTATAGTTATAGGATTCACAACCAAAAGTCAGGAAGCCAGAGAAAAAAACGTCAGTGTTCAGGCCTCCTTAAAGGGCCAGCCTGAAGTGAACTACTCAGAGGATAAGAAGTGGCTGAAGCAGGTACTCACGGAGCAAATGATAGCAATGAATTACCAAATATGAATGCCCACAAACCCAAGAGGCCCCTGGAACTTCTCCGTGTTGGTGTGGTGGCTCTCCTCCCGGAGAAGACTGAGCAAAGGCAAGACCTTTGTGCCAACTAGGGAAAGGCATCCCTTCCAGGGGACAAACAGCAAAACGCCATCACAGGTACTTGAGGGAAATGATAATTATCACGGCAAAGAAGAAAATGTGTGCACGCGATGAGTGGGAAGGTGGAGGTGGGGCACCTGTGACTGTGAATGTGATGAGCCTCTTTTGACACAAAAAAGGTAGGGAACCCGATTTTACAGACCCACTGCAGATAAACGGAGGAGGAACAGAAGGGAAGGGAAGGGACAGCCTGGAAGAAGTGTGTGGACGGATACATATGTGAGAAAAAATGTCTTATGATTTTATTTGTTTTCGGGACTTCCCTGGCAGTCCAGTGATTTAAGAGTCCGTGCTTCCACTGCATGGGACACA